GGGGGGGGGGGGGGGGGGGGGGGGGAGTTTCTCATATGCGAGGCGATTGTTACGCACGTTGACTGCGTATCAATATGCGCGGCGGTATGTTGAGTTACGATGGATACCCGATGCAAGCCAGCGTGTAAGCGTGAGGCTGTACATCTCGTAAGCAGCTTGCAAAGCAGTGAGACTGCCTAGACCATCGCCGGGCAAATCACCACCACCGCCTTTATCGCTTGCTGCATACGAGAGTGTCACGCTCTTGACCCAACTCTTGCGCCTGTCCTTGGCGGGATTCCAGTACAGTCGTTCAAGCATGTCGTTTCAGATCACGTTCGTCCAGCTTACTCACCACCGCCTGTGTGCGCATCTGTCTTGGTTGAGTTGACCACCATACTGATCTGCTTGCTCCCCCTTACTCACCCACCCCCGCGCCCGCTCCCGACTCGTCTTGCTCATTCTGTCTTTGTATGCGTTCACTTGATAGCGTCCAGGTTCATCGGCTTGATTGAAATGATTCATCTGTGCACATGCACCTTTTCGCCTACTCTATCGAGCTCGATACTGTCAATCGATCGTACCGGACCGCATGTCGTTCATCGATGAGTACAATCAGACCATTGTCTGGCACATGTGGACCCAGAACGCAACGCAAATGACACCCATGATCACATTAACATAGCAAGGGTTAGGCTTCGATGGACTTGCGTTTACAAGCCCCTACCGTGTGCCTCCTGAGCTTTGACGCATGAGACCACCATGCGTTCTACCCTCTGACTCTCTATGCGTGCACACTACGACTTGGATGCGATTGCCACTTGCGTCGCTATGCTGACCGAGTCCCCGTCGACATGTCTTGCATGCGCCACCGGCTGCTGCGACTTGAACGCTACACGAGATCCACACGCCGCTACTGCGTGTCGTGCGTGCGCTACCCGCGGATGCCGCACCCACACTTAGGCTTAAAGCTCTCACCTCGCACCCCTGTAGAGCGAGACTGGACCACGTGTACATGTCTTAGCTTGCATTGACCCTTGTATCGCACTGAGAAGCAAGGACCAGCATTCGCACTCGCTGCCACCCAGACCCCCTCCCCCCTCCACCTGGAAAAAGTGTGGTTCACCGAGAGCGCTTTGACCCCAATTGCCACGTCTTCGTGGTCCACGTTGCCCACACACATGGTCACGCTTGCACTCTCAGCTGATCGTGCGTTTCAGCCCCCATGCTTTGCCGATGCGTCTGAACCAGCGCTCTTTCTTCCGTGCCTCTTGACATGAGGACCAAGACGGCGGACGCTGCGATGATCGAGCCATTCTGCTGTGGCTGCGGTAAGATCCCCATGTGCACGCCTACGCCGGCGGCGTCCAATTCACATGCCTCGCAAGCCCCACCTGTCGCTGCTGCGCCGCATCGACCCTGGCGACCACCGGCAGACTGAGCCTCTTGAGCTTGACCGGCGTAGCCTCCTCGGCCTCCTTATCCATGGGCGATCGTCTTGCCCTCTGGGCTGCGCTACTCGGTGGCGTAACGATACTGCTTGCCGAGGAACTTCGACGCTCGAGGTTCGCCTTGCGCAGCTCGTCGCGGACGTACACGTACGCGGCACGGATCTGCTTTTCGCGCTCCTTCTGGTCGGCCACCTGGGCGCGTAGCCGCTCGATCTCCTCGGCGCCATTGGACGGCTCGGCCTCTTCGACCACCGACGCGTCGTCGGCCTCCTGCATCACCGCGTCCGCATGTCCCAAGCGCAGCGCCGCAAGCTCGCCCTCCCT